ACTGATCTGTTCACTCTCTAAATGTAGTTTCACATTTTCCAGACCATCACATAGTTGGAATCATGGCTCACAAGTCTTTTTAATGAAATACGGAGTTGGCCTCATGCTGTGAATGGTCACTGTGGGTGCATGTCCAGTACTTGGAGCCAAAAAAATGACCAAAGCAGGTTTTCTGTCTCTTATCAACCTCATATGGACAGAGAAGTCACTGATGTGTCAATGAGGTAAATTAGAACAACATATTCAGTCTTACCTTTTACAAATTTCTAGATTTTTAAATATTTAAGAATTACAGCCAAGTTCTATTGGACCATGTCATTTAGGTGTGTTCTCTTTCATTGTATCCTGTTCTGAGCAAACAAAAGTTAGTGTTCAAGAAATAAGTAGGATGTGAAAATTATTTATTAGCTCCTTAAAGTGTCAATTGCACCTCATCAGTGGCTCATATCAGTGAGAACAAAAAAACAAATGACCTTGGTCAGATCACTGACTCATCTAACCTCCACACACACAGAGCAGCTATTCCACAAATGCTTTCTTCAATTATCTAACTATAACACTAAATAGCTACATTGTAAATTATTATCCACTATGACACTGAACTTCAATAAAGAATTGATGTAATTCAAACACCATTAAATTCCCTTAATAATCAAAGGATAATTATATATGAATGTACTATTTTGCACATTAATTTACATTTTTATCCTATATTGTTTGTTGGTTCAACAACTTCTCTGATTTTTTCTATACTCCTTTCTCACTATGAGGGCTCCTTCCAATTCTAGCATATGAGAGTTTCATAGTTCAACAGCTCTGAGTTTATCCTGACTTTACCTTTAGATAATAAGCTCCTAGAGACTAGGAATTTTTTGTCCTATATATCCATTTTCTATAACAGAATGCTCTACCAAGAGATGCAGTAGAGGGCAGAGAAGGGTTTTAAGGTTTTCCTCCAATTCCCACTCCGGCATTTGCATAGCAGATGCTCAATACATATATGTTAAATGCAGGAATGACTAAATTACCTGAGAGTATGTATGTGGATGGGAGTGCATGGAGAAAGAACTGAGAAGCTGAAGGTGACGAACGTGAGAAGCACAGGGGGAGAAGGAAAGGAGAAGAGTAAGCAGGTAAACTGTATATGGTTTCTCATCTTCTCATATTTTTTCCCCTCTTCTCCATCCTTGCTCATCAAAAGTCTATCCTATCACAATGCAATTCTTTAAAGCTCTGGGCTATGACCTAGCCTCATAAACAATTGGAAATGTATTTGAAGACAGTGTCTCAATCCTGTGTTTGGCCTTCACAAGACTATAACCATCATATATACACAAATACACACAATCAAAATGTATAAATAGCTATACACAAATACAGCATACATTTGTCCACACACACACAGACCTAAAATGTAATAAATATTGAATGAATGGATGAATAAATAAAGTTGGGCTGCTAGAATTGCCATTTCTAGGGAGCTAAATTTTTTAAGGCAAAAAATTTGACTTAACGAAATCATTCAGTAGACATCAGTTTCCAGGGACTGTAACTAAAATCACAAGAGAATAATTTGTGAATGTATAGGTCAGGTATAGGTATGAATCTATGACACTGATTCAGTAATTAGTTACAGTAGCTTTTATTTGCTCACAGAAGTGGGTAGATCTAGTTGAGAAGCACACTTAACTTGGGAAGCAATTCATAATTGAGGGTTCAATTAGAGATACCGTCTTATCTTAAAGGATTTCTGTTAAGGATAGCTCTCTAAAGAACAAACACCATCTCTCTGGAGCAGAGTTGGACTAAAGGTTTTATTCTACACTTCCACAATTCAAGTCCCATCTTCAAAATTCCCCCAGTTCTTCCTTACTCTAGATTTGCCAATGACTAATAGAAATGCAAATAATTAAATCATCACCTAAAATTAACCAAACGCAGAGTTAAAATTTATGACATTTAAGGAAACATTTTATATCTACAGAACATAGTTGTTACTAATCTTGTATCAAGAAAGTCATTCTTTCATAGACTTTGACAACTTACATTTTCTTAATCTTCACTTCTTAATATTGGGTATGCCTTGCTTTTGTGGTCTATTCACTGACTTAAAAGGAGAAAAAAAAGCCATTTGAAGTTTAGCCACTCTAGGAAAAACAACCAAAGAAATTTCTACCTTGATTTTTCCAATGCTAGACTTGCTCTGGAGATAAAATTCACGTTAACAGAATGTGGGCATAAAGGAGGATGAGTGATAAGAGGACTGACCAGCTCTCCTGTCCCTCCCTAAATCTGGATATAATGATTAAACTATTGCCTCTATCTAAAAAGAGGAGAATGAATAACAGATTGGAAAGACAAGTCTAGCCCAGGAGGATGACTATGCAGGTAATTTTTGAGGGGGAATGGCCTGAAGGGGCAACACAGAACAGCTGCGAGCAGAATGCACTAGATATCTTAAGGGATGTGATTCTAGCACAAGAAACACTATCAGTAGTTGTAAAATGAATTAGAAGTAGCAGCAAAATAAATCTTCAAACTCTAAAATGTATATTGAGTTGGGCAGACTATTTATTAGTTATATCAAAAAGCAGAAATAAAGTTTTTATCTTCTTGACTAGAGACTCAAAAACTATCTATATATACACCTTGATAGAAATGCTCATAAAAACATTATCAGATGGTTTCCACTTCATTGAAGTTTTGAATTTATAGATTTGATTATTTTCCTATTTATTCCTGTCTATACCTCTGTCTATTTTCTTATCTATGACTGTGCCTTTTCTCCTTCTCATAAATGATTCTTTCTTTCTGTTAAGCCCTACAGAGACACCTAAAAGATGATGATGGGAGTCAAATATTGTGTGACTAAAGTGACTAAATAAAATTTAAAAAAATGTAATTAGCTCCATCTCCAAATGATTTGGCATAATTTGGAGGAAGGCAGTAGGTGGAAAGGGCAGGCTCTCAGTTGTCTACAACAGATGGGTATAAAGGTGCATATACTCTCTCTCCCTACTCACCCACACCACTAAATCACTCCAGCTATACTGGTTAAAGATTTATTTGGTTTAATAAGCTCCCACATTCAGAGATGCAAAAACCCTGGAGGAATTATTCCCATCAATCACTTACAGGTAAGTTTTAATTGCTTTGGGCTAATGTATAACCAGTTGAGATTTCTTACACGTCAATTTTATTTAGGTAGCACAGTATTTTAAAAAGAAAACAAACAAAGCCTGTAGGCACAGCATGTACTCTCTAGTTCACCAGAGCCCCTACCACCCCTTACTACTTAATACTCACCCATTTTAAAACATTATACCTAACTGGTCCCTCATGACAGATATAACTCCCTATTTGTGGCATGCACTGGTTGAAGAATATTTGGTTCTGTTTGTGGAAGACAGCTAAGCTGGGTGGAGTCTGATATTGGAGCAGGGTAAGGTTAGATGGGCTAGTCATGAGTAAACAACATAAAGTACCAAAGAATGTCAAGGGGTGTGGAATAGAAGATGGGAGGGGGAAAGAATCAGTGAAGGACTTTGCTTACTATGCAGTAATTTTGCCTAGCTCAATGTTGATCACATCAGTCTTGCTTTTGTTATACAATGTCTGATACCCAGACTGCTTGGGAACATGAAAAACCTCAGGCTACCCCATTTCCACCCCCTGCAGCTCAAGTATCTTCAGTGCAACTCAGTGGGTCTCCACATGGTTCCTAACTCTCTTCAAATTTGCCCCATTCCAGGGGAGGAGGCAAGAAACTGAGAGCTACTTTCCAGTTAAAAGCTACTAATAGGAAAGTAGGACATATACTCCTATAAGACCCTCACCTACTCTCATCTCCTCTCTGTCTTATTATGAGGACTTGGAGTGCAAAAAATATGCACATTTGCTTGTATATGCACACATAAGCATGCCTGTGAGCTCACACACACACACACACACACACACACACACACACACAC